TCAAATTTGTGATTAACAACATTAGGTAATCAGTGGTGATTAGGATTTTAATAAATTAATTACTCTCGGTCTAATTAGGAAAGGTTTAAACTAACAATCAAATAGAAGAATAAATCCGGCGGTTGAAGCATTTCTTCCTAACCTCCACATCATTGAGAGATTAAACCTCAGAACCTGCCTCCACATATTCTGGACCAGATCATAAACAATATATAATACAAAACAATGAATAAACTATGCATTCGAAAAAAGAAAAATGGAGATTGGGATAATTAAGTGTCTTGCTTTCAAAAAGTGAGCGTTATGGCGTTCACAGATGTTGGATGATATCAACACAAGTAATAGACAATTTCAATCAAACAAATGATGGAATCTGTTGAGTGCTTCAGACTTGCAAAGGCAGTAAATGGACAATATAGCATTATGGCATCAATTAGCTAAAGCCAATAAGTAAAATTTATACTTGTGGCCCACTCAGAAAAAAGTCCCTCAAAGCCACCACCTCATTCTGCAACATGACAAGTGGAAAAATTTTTCATAAACAGTTCAATCTTTTAACATGTTTTTCTTTTTCTTTATAGTTTAAGGGTATATATACGCAAAAAGAATACTATTGATCAAAGCCATTTAAAAATAATAATATAAAACTATAACTTAATTAAAATGAATTACACATATCAAACAAATTATAATCTTATATTGTCTCAAGATAATTTTAGTTACTCAATAAAAATATCAAATAAAAATAAATAAAATATTCAATATTATCAAAGATTGAAATCACTTTAAAGTTATAAGAGAACACAATTTTTTTTATAATAATTTTAAAAAACGACAATGTCTCATTTTAAAAATATATTTAAATGGCTAACACAAAAGATTACGCAGAGTTGTCACGTCAGAGTTTGGAAGTAGGAGTTGGAACGGCTTATGGTGCTCTGAGTAGTGGGAACCCTCTTCTTGGTGGGATACAATTGAGGATCATATTTCATTCTGTGTGCCTCATATTTGTCTTGAATGGGACAGGGAGAGAACATCTTTTTCCTTTTCATTTATTATTCTTCAGGTATTTCTTATCATTTGAGGACATGTGGGCTCATCATTACTTTCAATGTTTTCTAATTTGCATTTACTCCAAAGTTGAAACTTGAAAGTTCAAACATATGGCAAACCATTAAATGGGATTTTTTGTCCCTTTCTTCCAATGTGTTTGTTTATGTAATATAATAATCTCTTTCATATCAGCATTTGTAAACACGTTTAAGATATGTGGTACGTCCTTGTGGCTCATGTAATTAGTTTACTAGGATCTGTGAAAATGAACAACAATGACTAATTACCTACCTATTTTGTTTTAATTTCATAAACTAATCTCACCCCTTTTGTTCTCATTGCTTTTACAGTGACAAACTAGCAGTGGCGAATTGTGCTCGCATATCAATTTTTCCACATGCCGTGGAACTTGACCACACACACCCTCTTAATTGTGGGGTTGTGCTTTTGATCAATCACTTCAGAAATGAAGGAATAGAATCACTGGTTTGCATTTGCACAAACAAACCTGATTATGCAGAAACAAGCATGATTTAAGCAAACCACTTATTTGACATGACTGTTTGGTTTACATAAATCATGGACATATAAGAACTTTTACTTCCTGTGCAACCTCACAGATGCACAATGTCTAGTCACCAAGAATTGAAATAATGTACTGGAAGAGAGTTTGTAATATTTGTTCCCTCATTTTTGTTCTTCAACTGTAACATAATGAATATCTAAACAACACATTACTTTAAAACAATCACAAATGAGTTTGCTTTGATCATTTTTACAGTGATTTAATTTTGATATATTACTGTTATATGATTTTACGATATCAAGAAATATTTTCAAGGTACTACTTAAACAATTTAAAATTATTATTCTAAGCTAGTTAAAATAATTTATCATTAAAATATATGCTAATGTAAATAAAGGTATTTAATAATATTATCAATAAGCTATAAATGATTATGAAATAAATATAAAATATTATACATTTTACAAATGTATGAAAAATTACATAAAAAGCATATGATGTGTTAAATCATATTGTATTTCTAACAAAAGAAAAATTGTCACAATTCATATTCTTCACCATCGTAATAATAAATAACATAAAATCTCAATGATAATAAATCAAAATAAAACTTATTTAACAAAAAGAAAGAAAGAAAAGAAAAACCCATTTTATAATACGGTTAATGTTTTCCATTGTTTCATTTAAATATTCTAAGAGGGTAATTAAGCTATTGTGAATTGTCCAATACTGAAGTATTCTAATATTAACCAATTAGACAAGATACGGCCACTCCTTATATATAGCTTGTGTGCCCTTTTAAAGTTAGTATATTTGACTCTTCGTTGTTACATTTCTGTTCTGTTTCCTCATCAACCAACCATTTCCATCGTTAAAAAGAAATATACATATGTATACAAAATAATAATAATAATAATAATCGTCGATATTATGTGTGAGCTCTCACAAGCAACAAACATTACAATAAAATAAGGTGAAAGTGATTACAAACCTTTATGTACGATTGCGGTTGACGTTTCACTATCAAAGCACCCCTACTCTGTAAAACAGGCGATTTTGAATTTTCATATGCTTCATACCCAAATAAGATACAAATAGCTTTGCAACTTTGTGAAAAATTGAAATGCCCATATATAAAATGCTTCAAAAAGTGTTTTCATGACAAGTATTTATTCTACATTTTTTTGGGTATGGAATCCACCCCTATTTTTATTGATTAGAGCTGTCAACGAACAGAGAGAATATTAGTGGACCTGTTTTTTAGCGTGCTATGGTCTAGTTATATTTTGATCCTTATGATAGCCAATATTTTGATCCTTTTGCTACAAAGCTTCGAAGGAAATAAGCTTATTAATGGCCAAGAAAACAAATTAAAGGTTATTCTTTGCCACAGTCTGGAGAAGGATTCTTGGTTCATTTGTCTTGGTCATATATCTCAAGTGACTGAAGAGATTTTCCCAAGTTTATCTGGTTAGATAATCAATATGTTTCATTCACTATTTGCTTAATGCATGCATCTTTCAATGCACATGAATCATGAATGCAATTTTTTTCAGTTTAACAATCACGTGCAGCCTCAGAATTATCATCTTTTATGTTTTCTGGTTTAGTTGTTACCCTACAGTTAATTGATATTTTGCATTAATTAAAAAATGAGCTAATTTTTAAATTGTGTTAGGTCTAATATATTTTTAATGTAGGTTCTTCTATCATCATATTTTTAAATAAATAATTTTTCAATTAGCTCTTATTACATGATAATTTATAAAATAAAATTGATCATAAAATTTATTAAAATAAATTTATTTGAATAAGTTATGTTAAAAATAATTGATGAAATAAGTTAAAATAACTTGTGAGAATTATATATTGTTTTAATAAATTCTTCGTAAACTTTTTCAAATGGCACGTGATCATTCATTAGTAATAAAATTAAGAGCTAACAAATAGATAAATAAATTTCTAAAAAATAGAAGAATATAAATTAGTATTAACTTAGAAAATAAATTTAACACACGTTTTTATATTTCTAAACTAAACCATTATCTATTCATTGCGTTATTTTTTACAAGTTGAGACTTTTACGTGCATATAAGTTAACTATACACGGACCAGAGTGGTGCTCACACATTGCCAACTTCACTTGAAAGTTAACTATACAAGGTCTCTGTTTTCTTCTTTTTGGGTGGAACCACAAGTTTCTTTTTTTTTTATGCGACTTAGCAATTGGAGCTTGTGGAGCAGAGCCCCACGCTTTAAAGTATGGAGCTGGGCAAAGACTTCAACTCGAATTTAGATAGCTTGTAATTTTATTTTTGAATAATATTAGCAATATATTTTTTTAGTATACTTTTTTATAACACACTTTTTATTATTAATTAAAATTTTATTAAAAATTATATTAGTTTCACTTTTTTTCACTCATAAATTAATGTTTTAAATTTTTAATAAATTTTAACTAATAATAAAAAGTATATTAGAAATAATGTTTTAAAGAATATTTTCCTATCATTCTTCTTCATTCTTTAATTAGGACAAGAATAAGTGGGCAGAGGATTAGTGGGTATTTAGTGTTATGTGGCAATGGAATTCAATGGGCATTAAGCTAACGTAAAAACTTCTCCTTACATTGTTTTCTTCCCACATTTTCAAAGGGTAACAATCACAGCCTAACATGTGGTGTACTACATCATCATATTTTTTCTATTTTACTAAACTCATTTTATAATTAATCTTACCTGTTTAAAATAGTCAATTTTTATCAAAAAATTATTTATTACATTAAATATAAAATATAATAAATATGTTTTAATAAAATATAGTTTATTTAACATTTAAATTCAATTTTAAAGATTGAAGTTAATATTTGTTTTATTTTTTTAACAAACTTTAGTCACTTTATTATTGACAGCACGTGGAATCGGAAAATTGAAATACAAACCAATTCAATTATTATAATTTAATCCAACATGTTTTATATATTCAAATTGTATTTAAAAATTTAAAAGTTGTAATTTACTCGAACAAATCTAATTAATTGATTGGCTCTAAAAGCTGAGGTGTCGAGAAATTTCAGAATCTTTTCATAAACTCGAAAGAACGCTTGAAATTGAACCTGAAAAGTCGCACAAGCCAACTTATTTTAGATTATGGGCTTGTGGCTGGCCCAGCCTCATATTGCCCTTTTGTTTAAAATAAAAAAAAATTGTAAAATTTTCAAGCTTGTTTAAAAATAAATAGGCACATTGACCAAAGTAAATAAATAAAATACGAATTTAATGTGCCTATTGCTGATTCCCTAAAACCACTTTGCAATTGTGTTTTGACATTTTGGTGCATACGGGTGAGTATTGTTATTTGTATATTTATTATAGCTTAGCTTCGATCTTTCTTGATTACTTCCACTACAACTTGGGTTGACATGGAAGACACAGGTTACACTCTAGATGGCACAGTGAATCTTCGTGGCAGGCCTGTGCTTTCTTCTAGAACTGGGAAACGAAGAGCTTGCAATTTCATTCTTGGTAAATTACTTATGAGCTGTGTAATTTTAAGTTTTAGATAAAATGTTGATTTGAAAAGGTATTAATGCATTTTGCTTCTTGCTAACAAGTGATTATCACTATATTATGACTCATGTGACAATGAGTGTATTACTAATGCTAGTTTACCAAGCATTGGAAAGATTTGCCTACTATGGGGTTGGTGCCAATTTGGTGAATTATATGACAACCGAACTCCACAAGGACTTGGTACCATCAATAACCAGTGTGAATAACTGGTCAGGCTCATCATGGATAACTCCATTACTAGGTGCTTACATTGCAGATTCTTACTTGGGCCGTTTTTGGACAATCACTTTATCGTTGATCATATATGCTACAGTAAGTTGTAGTTTTCATTTTGTCTTCATTAACTTTTGCATGCTATTTGACATTGGATGGATATCTCGTTAATAAGTCAAGGACACTAGCAGTGTGAATTTACGTATATTTCAATACTACTAATTGTATTTTCTAAGTTGCATCGACGTTTATTCGTGTTTTAATGTGTTTATATATATATATATATATATATATATACACACACACACAAGTTAAAAATTAATAAATATTTTTTTTATTGAAAATTGTATTAAGAAGAAAACATGAAAATATAATATCTTCTACTACAACTACCATTCTTATTCTTTTCATTTCTTGAAATAAAACTTCTCACATGGTATATCTTAATACAAGGGTATTTTCACAGGGACTTGCGCTTCTGGTGTTGACAACTTCGCTGAAGTGCTTGAAACCAACATGTACGAATGGAATTTGCAAAGAAGCATCTAACATACAACTAACATTATTCTATTTATCAATATACATTATTGCAATTGGAAGTGGAGCAGTGAAACCCAACATGTCAACTTTTGGTGCTGACCAATTTGATGATTTCAAACCCAGAGAGAAAGAGCTTAAAGTTTCGTTCTTTAACTGGTGGTCGTTTAACACTGCCTGTGGCACTTTAGCTGCCACTTTGTTTGTTGTGTACATTCAAGAGAGATTTGGATGGGGATTGGGTTATAGCATTTCAGCAATTGGTATTCTACTTGCCTCTTCTGCCTTCTTTATGGGCACCCCAATATATAGACATAAACCAAGAAAGGGAGAGAACCGTACAATGGACTTCATCAGAGTCCTGATTGTTGCTTTCAGAAATAGAAAACTCCAGCTTCCTAGTTGCCCTTCAAAACTGCATGAGTTTGAGTTGAAACATTATATTAGTAGTGGAAGACGACAAATTCATCACACTCCTCGTTTCAGGTTCGCTACTCACTACTCAGCTCTTGCTTTTACTTGTTTTAGCTTGCGAATTTCAATTGAGGGTATGCTTAAGTTTCTTCTCTCAACACTGGACTCTAATTCTATCTTGATAATTGGTTGCATGATTTAAAATGGCTCAAATAATGCATTAAGAAAATTGATGAATATTGACTCGTATTTGAAGGAAAAACATGAACTGATAATCACAAGGTATATATATATATATATATATATATATATATATATATATATATATATATATATTCTTGTCCAATTAGTATGTGCTTTTGCATTTTTACACTAGAATTGCACAGAACCGTTATAACTACACAATAATTTATGATTCTAATTTCTAGCACGGGAAGGAAATTAAATTTCATTAAAACCATATAAAATGGGTTTGATGGAAGGATAATATAAGTCTATAATTGTTGATCCTGGAATACTCACGAAAATAGTCACTATGTTGAAGTATTTTTTATGGTTGTAAATTAAATTTCAGATTTTCATTCACAAAACTTGTTGGTAGGAAGTGCTTATGCACAGACATAAACATACAAAAATGATACAATTCTTCAATATTCCTACTGATTTAAGTACTATACTTAAATTGCCAAATTTGTGTCTCAAGGTTCTTAGACAAGGCTGCAATAAAAGAAAGCAGAACAGAAGTCTCAAATCCCCCATGTACAGTGACTCTAGTAGAGGGAACAAAGCTTATTTTAGGAATGCTTCAGATATGGTTACTTATGCTAATTCCTAGCAACTTCTGGGCAGTAGAAGTAACCATGTTTATCAAGCAAGGCACAACAATGGAGAGGAGCCTTGGCCACAACTTCCGTGTACCAGCAGCCTCCCTTTGGAGCTTTGTAGTAGTCACCATGCTCATTTGTCTCCCCATTTATGACCATTTCTTTGTACCATTCATGCGTCAAAAAACCGGCAACCATAGAGGAATCAAATTGCTTCAAAGGGTTGGCATAGGAATTGGCGTCCAAGTCATAGCTTCTACAATCATTTATGCTGTAGAAATTCGAAGAATGGATGTCATAAAGAAGGAACACATAGTTGGAACTGAAGAAACAGTTCCTATGAGCATATTCTGGCTCTTGCCTCAACATGTTCTACTTGGTATTGCCAACACATTCCTTATCACTGGCTTGCTAGAATTCTTCTATGATCAATCACCAGAAGAATTGAAAGTCTTAGGCACAACCTTCTTCACCAGTACCATAGCTGCTGGTAACTACTTTAACAGCTGTCTAGTGGCTATGATAGATAAATCAACAAAGAAGATCGTTGGTAAGAGCTGGATAGGCAACAACCTCAATAATAGTCACCTTGATTACTTTTATGCCTTTCTTTTTGTGATATCTGCACTTAATTTTGGGGTCTTTCTGTGGGTATCAAGTAGATACATTTACAAGGAAGAAAATACAACAGAGGTGAATGATATTGAGATTTTGAGAGCCGAGGAGAATGAACTACAGTTAGTAAAAGCTTGAACATTAGCATCTGATATAGTTAAAAGTATCAAACCAGACATATAGCAAAAATGGAAAACCCAAGCCGTGATTCTGTTACTATAATACAGTTGCTGTACCTATTCATGTGTGAAACTGTTACTGCAATTAGTATACCGAAATTAATGAGCAATAAGTGTAACTAGCATTTCCGGCAATGTGTGTCTGATCACAAAAGCATTTAGCATCTAGAATCATTACCCGTCGTATCTCACCCTTTTACCATTATTAAGATTGTGCAGAGCAGATTAGGATAATGATGCAGAATAAATTTAAATTATTTGTATTGTTTTTAATGTATGAATTGGATGATACTTTATTAATTATGTTATTTAGGATATTGATGCCTTTTCTTACATTTAGGACTTTATCTCTAATCCGTATTTTAGTTATAAAAGATTACATTTAATTAGAATTATGCACTTAATTAAGATTTATATAGGATTTCATATTTAAATAGCATTTATTTAAGATTCTTTATTTCTTATACCCATCTAGAGCCGGTAAAATGGGTTGGCCCGATAGATTGAGTCCAAAAAATCAGTTAAATAGACGGATTTGAACTCTAAAAAATAAGGCCTGAAATTATCTTGAGCTATTTTGGTCCGATCCGAATAAGTTTGGTACCCGATAGGACTTTAACTGGGTTAGTTCATGCAGGTTCAGACAGCCCATATATATGTATTGAGATTAAACCTTGAGTTTAAAAGAGTTTGAAAGGGAACATATTTTAGTTTCAAAACCCTAAAATTACAAGTCTAAATTATATACTTTTGCACCGTTACAAAAATAATAAAAAAATAAACTAATAGCCATTTACAACTTAAAAAAAATAAAAATAAATAGTATAATACAAAAATTAGACATAAAAAACGAGTGGTCTATTAAGTTCTTGCAAAAATAACTTAACATGGTATGTTACAAATACTAAAAATAATAATAAAAAACAATGATTTGATGTTATAAAAACAATAAAAAAAAAATGACATGTTACAAAAATAAGAAAAAAAAATTATTTGAATTGTCGGGTCAGCCCACATAAGCCCGTAACTCGTATAGGGTAAGGCTTAAAGAGTAAAAATATAAGCTCATTTTTATCTTGAGCTAATTAAGCTCAATCCGTCTGAGCCTGCTACCTGTATCGGGCCGGGCCAGGTCAAGCTGCCCGTTTTGACAACTCTATACTCATCTTATGTAAAGAGGACTTTTTGCATAATTGCTTTAAAAAAAAAAACCTTGAAGATTATATGAAACGTGATTTCAAGAAGCACTTTGTTCAAGAGTAATAATAGATTCATGGGCTAATAAGTTTTATTAATTACTAATAAATTTATGTTGCATATTTATATAATCTACTCTAATGACAAAAATATTATCAATTATAAATTATAACACTATATATAACCTATCAGACTTCGTCAACTATTTTATAAATTTAAACTTACTTATTTAATTAAATAAACTTTTTTACAAGCTTATGCCCCATTTGTTCTGTCAGTCCATTTACTCGCAAGAAATAAAAACTTTCTAGCTCACCGCCGCATTCCTCAATTTTGGAGTGGGAATATGTTACTGTTGGTATATATAAAAAAATTTAGTTGTACCTTTATATCCCTTTATCATGATTAATGTGTATAATTTTTTATTTAATTTGATTTTTTAATTATTATAATTAAGTCCTTTTGTTTTTTTTGTTTTTACATAAATTCTTAAAATTCTCAGTTTATATTTAAATAATTGAGAATTTAAAATAACTTTGGCATCTGAAGTGTTTTGAAAGGATTATGACGGTTGAAGATTTGGTGAAATATTGATCAAATATAAGAAAAGATGTGAAAAATAATATTAAGATTTTGAAGAGGGAAAAGTTTTAGAGATACTTAGAGATAAAATTTGGATAACATGCAATACCTGTATGTTTTAAGTACGTTGAGCCCATAACTGATACAAAGGGTAATTTATTAATTTATTTTGCTATTAATACAAAGGGTAATTTCAACCATAAGATCTAGTTAGGGCAAATGAAATGAAAGAATGTTTTAGTTGCGATATAGATAAAACAAAAACTGGAAGGAAAATTTTACTGCATAGATTAAAGATATGCAATGTGTTTGAGTCAGAATATAATAAAAACAAATATTGTATATTTGGGTTAGTATTAATTATTTTTTACAGCGAATAAAAATATAATTTACTCTTAAATTATAATGCATCTAAGTATTTGATTACAGAAACATGTATAAAAGCCTCACAAAAGACAGTTTGGGTGAAGATTTTCTTCATCTAGCTAGTGTTGCTGTTCTTAGTGCTTAGTCAATCTCATTGTTTGTATTATATAATACGTAAAATTAGTGAGACCATATTTTATTACGAAAGATATCTATACAATAGTACTTGAGTCAATGATAATATCCTAATTCCTCTTGGTCATAAAAAAGAAGAGAATCTAACGTAACAAAGTAGTTAAAATAAGTTTTGAGTGACTAGTTCTAGAAAGTAAACTATGCAATACTACTCGAGTCAATGATAATATCCTAATTCCTCGATCTTCAGCTCAAAAAAGAAGATTAGCTAACACAACAAAGTAGTTTAGATAAGTTTTTAGTAGCTAGTTCTAGAAAAGGCAATAACTCTCTTTTGACTTTTTAAACTTTTATAAAATGAGCAACGACCAAGGAACAAGACATCTTTTTGCTTTAACATGCAGCTGCGTGATCATTGTGATCTTTGACACTTTCTATATTCCAAAGATGGGAATGTGAACCCAATCAACTGAGTAAGATGCTACTTTGAACTTGAACACTTAATTAGGTAGAAAATTGTATGTCTGTCCCCAACTTCCATATTTTAAATTTAGAAAAAATTACCAAATATTTTGTATGTTATAGATGATACGTTTAAATTTAAATAAATTTAGAATAAATAATTCAAAACCATTTAAGCAATATAGACATATGCAAAATTAATTAATATAGGTATAAGTTACTTTTAAAAAATTGAATGGGCTAGCAAGACCGGAAGAGAAACATAAAAATTTGATGTAAAAGAAAAACTAAAAGTAAAAAAGAAAATTTTGAAACATATGCAACTTAAAGATGCCACTGAACATGTAGATTAACTGATATTATATCTTGAATTTAAATTTCAATGAATATAACTATGTTAAATACTCAATTTTTTATATATACAATCTCTATAAAATTATATAGTGTTTCATTATATTACTTTATTTTAATAGATAATACATTTTTAAAATATAAATAAATATCATATTTTTTATAATATATTTATAAATTTTTAAATTATATGAAATTTAATATTTACCATAAAAATAGTAAAAAATAATTCAACAGTTAAATAAATTAATCTTACATTTTATAAAATGTTATTAAATTGTATAAGTATTTAAGTTTGATATCTAGTATTAACATGTTTAATTAAAAATAATACTTCCGATTTAAATAAACTAACTATATTAGATTGTTTTTATATTCTAATAAAAAATACAAATTATCCCAACACTTTGTGTACAAGAATACATACATAAGTTACATAACTTTAAATTACATATGAAAAATTAATATTCATCTCAGCAGCTCTAAAACGGGCCACTCATTTAATTTTTTGTGAGTTCATCAGTAAAATTTTTTATCCATTATTCATTCTTCACTTTACCAACTTCTCATACATATTAAAATAAAACAAAATGGTTTTTGCAGCAAAAGTTATCAAGAAAAGCACAAGTATTTGTATATAGTTGAAAATGTCATCTTCTCTATTATCTGTCGAGTCTTTTGATCGAGTCTTAATCAAAGCAGAATCTGTCAAATAGAGAAGGCCAAACCGGTGCACTGTGCAGTAGTTTACCAGCCGGAAAAGTTCCTGAAAGTCTATAATATATTAATAATGTTGCTTTGAAATTTGGCATGGCCACTGCTTTTTATGTAATTTATAAAAAAAAAATATGTAGCTAGATTTTTGTTTTTCACAATTTTATAAAACTGAGTTTATAATATTGCTAATGTTTTAAATGATTAAGTACTTTGTATAGCTTTAACATTTCAAAGTATTCATACTAAAATCTTAACTAGTGATTTTTTATGCATTGAACAAGCATTATTAAATTAAAATGATCTAATAAATAATTTAAAATATGTTGTATGATTATTTTAAAATGTTTATAATTTTTTCAAAATATTATAATTACTAACAAGAAATATTTATATATAAAATAAAATTGAACAAGAATAAAATTTAAATTTAGATTAATATTAAATTGAAATAAATATTTAAAATAAAAATACTTAACATGGTAAGAAATAACTAATTCTTAAGAATATTTTTATTTGAGCAAAATATTAAAAACATTCTTGCTTAAAAATGTATATAAATTCTAATAAAAATATCAAACCTTTTGAAATATTATATCCTCTTACTATTTTAGCCTGTAAATTTTCTCACTCACGTAAAAAGTGAAGTGTGTCTTTTTAAAAATATTAATTAATATTTAATGTGAATGAAAAAAAGTTATAATTTAAAATAGAAGAAAGCTATAACATTATTTTTATTTTCTTTTTCTAATTCTGTGAAGAAATGCTGTAGGACCACATGTTACCCGAGAAACCTACAATGCGGCAATATCCAACCACTTATCAGAAATTAAGCTCATTAGCAATTACTTAATTAATCAAGGGCGCATCAGGTGGCACGGAAAATTTTTATAAGAGAATGTTAATAAATATATTAAAGTTATTAATCAATAAATTTAAAGTTTTAAAAATATAAAAAATTATTATTAATTTTTTAATAAGTTTATTATGATTTATAATAAAATATTTATTTATTAAGTATTAATTAATACCCTAAGTACGTTCATTCATAATACTCTTAAGTACTTATTTTTAGTTGCTTAAAAATTTATTTAATACTGTTTTTATCCTTAAAAACTATAATATGTTCAATATGACATATTTTATTATAGTATAAATAATATATTTTAAATTCAAATATATAATGTAAGTAAAGTTATATTATTGAGTAAACTTTTACTTTAATCTCTAAAATATACAGTGTCGTTTAAATTAATCTCTTAAATTTAAAAGTTAAAAATTTAGTCCCTTAAAATTAATAATCATCAATCTTAATTCTTACTGTTGAGAAACATTAAAATTGAGTAATAGAGTGATGATTTGTCATGTTAAGTGATATGTGATAGTCTATTTTCAACACAAAATAATGTTGTTTTTAAATTTTTATAAAATAGTTCATTTTCATCTATGACTTTTAATATTTTTAAGCAACAAAATCCTTTCTCATCATCTATTCTGTCTTCTTCTATGACATCTTCTTTCTTCCTTTAACCATCACTATAATGACAACATTCATACTGCAAAAGTCTTTCGTCTTAAAATTTTTAGTTTCATAACCAAATTTAAGTCTCAAATCTATCATTGAACAACCAATTGTGATTGATGCAATAAATAAGTCTCATATGTAAGAAAATGAGTATATTGACTATGTAAGTTTTTTGGAATCTATAATTATTGATCACGCTGTTAATTATGTTCTCTTTTAAGTTTCTCTGCTATAAATGAAAAAATTATTTATTTATTGTAGTCATGTTGGTCCTTTTTTATTAAGGTTAGTAATAAAGTTCATCTTAAGACTTTTTGATTTTTTTGGTGTTTTCAAATTTGTCTCTTATAAAACCTTTATATATATTTTTTTACAATAATTCATTTGAAGCTAATAAAGGAAAGTTGTCACAGTCTTCCTTAAATATATTGTTAAAAATGATGGTTTTATTGTTCTTACACTTGCTAATCCATTGGAGTAATGACTAAATAAAAAAAAAATGTCATGCAAGAAAGCAAAATAAAAGACGATAAGAGACTTTATCATTATGTTAAAAATTATAGATAAAAATAAATTATTTTTAAAAAATTTTAAATCGATGTCATTTTGTATTAAAATAAATTATCATATGACATTTAACGTGACAAATAATCAATTTTATTATTTAATTTTAACTTTTTTTAATAGTAATTACTAATGTGATTAACGATTATTAATATTTGGGACTAAAATTTCAAAATTTTAAATTTTAAAAACTAATTTTAGTCAAATTTTGTAGGGATTAAAGTAGAAATTTATCCTTAAGTTGATCATATTAAATTTATACAAAATGAGATGAAAAATCTCTTACACTCATTTAAACTTAACTAAAATGCCATATATAAGAGCTAGAATAGTACTATAATTAATAAATATTTGAAATTCTTAAATAAAATGAGCCTTAGGAATTATCTTAATGAAAAGCAGTGTGGAGTGGTGGGAGATTCGTTACATACTTGATCAAACTTCAAATGGTTGAATGTGAGGAAGTTTCAAGCATGGCTTTCACTTTCTGAGGGTCAAAAGAACAGGCTTCAAGTTTTCTAAATAAAGACACTATTCTTAGCCTCTGCAATCTGCATGACAGATTTATCGAAATTAAAGGACAAGGGACCCACATGTGGAAGTCCACTATCATTCACAAAATAAAGGGAAGGCCCGAACGGGACAAAAACCATAAAAAGGTCAACATCCATTAGAAATCCCTTTCTTTTGTAACTCAATCTTCGATTTTCTTATATGTATTTTAAGGTTACACGACCCAAAAAATTATTTATAATAATTTTTCACTAAAAATTATAATGATAATATTAAATATATTTTTATTAATAATAATAATTTATTATTTATTAATTTTTTATTATATACCTCTAACTATATATAAAGAAAACTGTTTTATAATATCTCTAGTCATTAATCATCATTATGGTATTCTATCCGATCTTTAAAGAAAAGGGAAAATATTAATTTTTTAAGTAAATATTCTTAATTATAATTTGTTTAAATGAAAAGAATCAAGCAATAAATTATCGCAAACATGCTATTTTATATCTCATTTATTTTGTATAAAAGACTATATACTAATCTCAAGTTAAAATAAGCATTTTATTCCTTTTCTTTTTCTAAATCTTTTCACCCAAACATGCTCAATGCTATTTTTTATATTATTAAATTATTTAAAAAATTTAACTGTATAATAAAAAAAATGGCACTAAGAAGATTTACACAGTCAACCAAATTGATAGTAAAATATTTCTATAAGAGGAAGATTCACTGCCAAAAAAATGCTCTTTAGGATGAAAGTATCGTGCATGAAATGTCACGAACTTATACCTATAAATGTGTTTCTTTATTATATTATTTTATTTTAACGTATAATATATTTTTAAAATATAAAAAAAGTACCTAACCTATTCACATCCTCACTAATTAATTTAAAGGCTTAATAGGTAAAATAACAATACTAAAAAATAATTATTAATAAAATATGTTAAACATTGAAATCGTCCCTGTTAATATTATTTTTTTAATAAAAATAAAACATTAATTTAAAATATTATGAGTGTACGTTAACAGTATAATGATATTACTTAGTCAACTAAAGTAGCTGCTTCATTTTGACAAACACTTTAAAAGGAGATGAGAATTGAATATTTGGAAAAAGCAAGATGAACCTTAGATAATAAGCAAAAGCCAAAGTATGGAAATTTAACAGTCAACGCTATTTAATTAAGAATGTCTACGAACTCACAGCGGCTAGTGAAGAATAATAACGCTCCATCGCTAACGGTGTCAGTTAGTTGTTGCAGAATACTATTTGAAGGACACCTAAGGAATGTTTTAGAGAGAGTATTTGGAGGGAAAAGAAAGCAGAATATTTTTTTTAATTTTAATTTAAAAAATTATATATTATTTATTATAATAAAAATATAATTAATATATTAATTTTATGTTAACATATTATTTTAAATTTTAAATTTTAAATAAAATATTAACTTTAAATATATTTTTATTTAAAATATAAATTTATTTTCTTTCCCCTCCTTTTCAAAGTTTCTTTTTCTAAATAATTTATATATATATATAAGTGTTATTTAATTTATAAATTATTAATTATTACATTTTATTTTAAAAAAACAAAAAATAGTAAAATAAAAAATTTAAATATTTAAATATTTTTGTATAAATATCTAAATAAAAAAGTTGAACAATGATTGCTTTATAAATATATGTATTTATGTATTTTAAATCAAACAGCTGCTAGAGGTGTTCGTTTGTGATTTGAAGCATTATTTTGAAATATGTATACACAAGATAAAAAGTAATTGACTAAAAATAATTATATATGATATTAGTTTTTAGTGATTAAAATAATAAGACTTTCAATAATCATTAAGGGCTCAGGTGAAAAATATTTATCTACTTCAAAAATAAATAATAAATAAATAAATAAGAAAAAATCACACCAGGTTCGTTTATATTTCTACCATTAAGTTTTGACATCAAACACAACATATGAATTTTCGTTTTCAGCACTAATATAGTAGGATTAAAAAAAAATTACATGTATAAAAAAATGTCATATACTAATAAAAAAAACAATCATTAAAATTATTCCCATTGGTATAATTTTTTCATTAAAAAATTATTTAATTTATATACATATATTATGAATTTTTATGATAATATATAATGTATTATATAAAAAAATATTAATATAAAATTATTAATTAAGATTATGTTGTTAGTATATGACAATGTTTTTAGTAAGGTCATTATCAACTTGATTAGATTCACTCAAGATTGTTAAAATATTGGTATTTTAAATAATGAATAGTATAGTGAGGTGATTGTTAACAATGCTACATCATGTCAAAGAATAACCCGTGACTATTAGTCATGTTGGTGTTACTAATAATAGTTTTATAACTCAATCGTAAGAAGCTATACTTGAAGAGTTTAAGCTTCCGATCTCACTGAAATCAGACAAGAGAAGCAGTTTCTTTCTTACTTCTCTTGAACGCAATTATATGATTGCTGTGGGCAACATTCAGCCAGCAAAAGCTGAAAATAAGCCATGAAAACCTGTGGAGGCTTATTTGTGCTTGTGGCATTCACACGACAAGGTAAAACCCGCGTTGAGACTTAGCTAGGCTGGCCAGCATACAGATAAGATAATGAAATTGCAAAAGTTATTTTCATATATTATTTTGTTTAAAGTAACAAGTAACCTTATACCAAACTAATATTCTCAGCTGTACTTTTTCTGTTTAAATCGAAGTCAATTACGCATGACTAATTAAGATTATGCTCGTTTTAGTGCTTGGAATCTTTATTTTAATTAAGTAGTCAAATTTGCCTTTGGCTTTGTTCTGTCTTGTTGCATGGATAGCATGAAAAATAGTTATTTTTATACCAACATTTTCGATTATATTATATAAAAATATCATACATTTTCTCTTCTTTTTTTTTTCTATTTTTTATGTTTCACCTATTTAACACCCATTTAATCAGAGGGAAGGAAATATTTTTGGATGAAAAATGTCACACATCAAAGCGTTATACGATGGGCCCCTACAGAGGAAAATAGTTTACCAAACAGTTGTAAACACTTTGACAAATAAGGGCAGGGAGGCAGCTAGTCATTGGATTCACAGAATACATGACGCGGGTTTTCACTTCTTTATCTTTGAATTGATTAAATCAAATCTTTCCCAAATAAACCACATTTTTCTAATCCGTCATAATCATAATTCATAATTGAATATATGAAATTTCCATCACACTTTTTTGAAATCTCGAATGATCACCAATTATACCATGCAGTGAAGACTTGTCCTTATATTCTACGTGTTAGGTTAGGATGCTACCTGTCGAGCCTAATCACCTTGAGTTGAGACATTGAGAAATTGAGAACCGTCGCCAGGGACCATTATAAATATGGAACTTCCATTAACAGATAAACCACACCCTCTTAGGCACAAACACAAACACTTTAAGTCAGCTGTGTGCTTGAGCAATGGCTTCGTTTAGTTCTAGATTAACTATTTGTTTGGCACTGTTTGTCCTAATACTGGGTAGTGCCAATGCACAACTTTCTACAAACTTTTACTCCACTTCTTGTCCGAAACTCTTCTCCACTGTGAAATCCACACTGCAATCTGCCATATCAAAGGAGGCCCGCATGGGCGCTTCTCTCCTCCGTTTGTTCTTCCACGATTGCTTTGTCAATGTAATTATATTCGCCTTCTCACACTTATATATATAAATATACATATATTGAGCATAGCCTCTGCTTCAACTAATTTTATTACACTATGAAATCATTTTAATTACTTAAGATATTAGTAATAAATATTTTCATATAATAAACACTTTTCATCAAAAATAGTTTTTTACATCTGTTTCTTTATTTGTGTCTCTTGAGTTGTTTTAGTTTTTCATGCATAAACATGGTATGTGGCTTTACTCTTTGAGAAAATTAAATTAAAATCCATCTACTGTTAATAACGTTCTTAACTAACAAGTTAATCTTGATGAGGATTAATATGCCACTTTTTGCATCGACTGTATATAGCCGACACTTTGCTACTTTATTCAAATTTTGTTTACCAAAAAGAATGGAGACCCGGGATAGTGGATTCTAAACAGTTAACATTATAATTGTAGGGATGTGATGGTTCAATTTTACTTGATGACACATCAAGTTTCACCGGAGAGAAGAACGCAAACCCCAACAGGAACTCCGCGCGTGGATTCGATGTCATCGACAACATCAAATCAGCCGTGGAGAAAGTGTGTCCAGGAGTTGTTTCATGTGCTGATGTCCTTGCAATCGCTGCCAGAGACTCCGTGGAGATCGTAAGTGGTCAATAATAAATAATTTTTTTTATTAAATATTATAATATTTAATATTGTTTATTGAAAATCGATATAATATGTGTGAATTAATTGCTACATAATCACATGCATACATGCAATTAATGGCATGCAAAGCAGGCTGATTATACTTAGTTGATTTTGATCGTATATATTAGCTTGGAGGCCCTTCTTGGAATGTTAAACTTGGACGAAGAGACGCTAAGACGGCTAGCCTGTCTGCTGCCAACAATGGCATTCCTCCACCCACTTCAAACCTTAACCAACTCATCTCAAGATTCAGCGCTCTTGGACTTTCCACCAAGGACTTGGTCGCATTGTCTGGTACAGTTACAAAGAAACATATATATATGTCACAGTGATTTGCTAGTTAATTACAATTCATATAGTAAAATTTCCTAGCTTAATGAATTAGTTTCATGTTTAATTATCCTTTCATTAATTTGAAGTGACACATCTTGGTTAGGTGGGCACACAATTGGACAAGCAAGGTGCACCAATTTCAGAGCAAGAATCTACAACGAGACCAACATAGATAGCTCTTTTGCTAGAACAAGGCAATCAAGCTGCCCAAGGGCATCAGGGTCAGGGGACAACAATCTAGCACCCCTCGATCTCCAAACTCCAACCACCTTTGACAACAACTACTTCAAGAACCTGGTTCAAAACAAGGGCCTCCTCCACTCTGACCAACAACTATTCAATGGTGGGTCCACCGACTCCATAGTGCGTGGCTACACCACTAACCCTAGCTCCTTTTCATCTGATTTCGTTAGTGCCATGATGAAGATGGGAGACATTAGTCCTCTCACTGGCTCCAATGGAGAGATCAGGAAGAATTGTAGAAGGATCAACTAATTAATTAAGTCTAAACATCAAGGGTCCTACACACATACATGCAATTAATTGCGTTTGATATGTGCGTATAATAAGTTGTTAAAACATGTTTTCATTGTCTTTCGGGTTCCGTGAGCTTCCTAGCTAGCGCATTTGATGTGTACTTTAGTGTGTCCTACCTCCCTTCTTTTTGTTTCTTTTTTTTTTTAAATTGTCTTATACAATATTGTAGGAAAAAATTAAGCCTTTGTCAAGGCTCAAGAGGGGAGATTGGTTTGATGTATCAGTTCGCTTGTGATTTTCCCATTATAACATTCCATTGGGATTCTCTTTTCCATTTGCTTCTTAATTATGTTGAAGTTCTTTTTTGAATTTATGATCTTAAAATAATGTTTCTGAAAATTTTACACCTTTTTTTATTATTTTATGCCAAAATAATCTAGTTCAATTTAGTATATCATAAATTTTCAATTTTAGCATTTTTTTGTCGATATTTTGGCAATTAAATCATTGAAGTTTTCTTTCTTTTTTTACAATTATTTTGGTCCGGAAAGCAGCCCCCACAAATTGGCCATAAGGAAAGTACACAAAAGATCTCACGCGGAAAGAGAAAAGGTAAAAGAAGGTCAAGTGAACTTTAAGATATGAACCGACTCAGACCAAAATAAAAGATGAACCGACAAACGATCTTTACATACTCTCTAGAAAGTTGATATTAAACTTCTTTTCATTTTCACACCTATAATAATAATAATAATAATGAGGAGGAGGAGGGGACTAGAATGAATCTCAACTCCAGCATTGTCTCTAAAATAAAGATAAAAAGAGTGCAGAGTAGTATGAAAATGTGTGTCAGATTCTTAAATTCTAAATAAGAAATCAGGCAAAGAAAAAAGAAAAATGTTTCATATCTCATAATTATACTTGCTGAATTTTTTTTAAGCATGTCATGCATTTCATAAACTAAAATTACATTTATTTTAAGATCACAAAGTTGGGAAAAATTTCACTGATATTTGTGTGCCCTTATTTGTTCAATTGATTTATACTAAAATTTTAATTCAAGTTACCTCCTTATTTCTTCTATTCTTTTTTAATACTGAACCTTAATAGATCTTAAGGAACGTCTGACTGAGGGGAAAGTAGATAAGAATTTTACTTACCATGCGTCAGCCTGAGTTGATTTTTTTTTTTTTTTTTAAGTTGTAGACTTTCTGGACAAGAAGGAGAAGGCCGTTACAGAGCCCAGAGTAGGGTACTAAAACGTTGATTTGTCTGAACTTACTCTTAGTGTGCAAGTTGAGTTTTATTCAGAATAATATATTTGACAAAATTAGAATTAATATATATTAACACAATTGCTATTGAATACAATGTTACGAAATTTTAACAAATTTAAGACCAAGCAATCAAAGTGCCGCATAACTATTGATTATAACTGTCTTAGTCACTTTTTATGTAAAAGTTTTAGTACTAAATATCATTATTCATATATTAATTGAGACATAATTTGTAAGATATATAACGTTTCCAGTATAAGAAAATCAACAGAAAGAGATTGGTAATACAAGAAAATCAGCATAGTTTATAATAACAAATGAAGCTATATATTTCATGTGCTAACTTGTCTTTATGTTCTTGGAGATCATGTGGCTGTGGGATTTTGAAATACTTTATTATATCTTTTTTCCATCCATATGATTGCTTTTGTATTTCCTTTAACCATTTTCTGTGCTGTGGTTTTATTTTAATGTTGTTAATTCCATTCTAATGGGAAAACTTTCACATGTTAAGTTCTTAATTGTATTATTCAAGACTTTGAGTAAAACATGTACTACGAGAATTTAGCGGAATTGCAGTTTGGAAGTTGGTCAAAATAGGAAATCCTGATTAATAAAACTGTACTGTAGTTGGTCAAATTAACCATTGGGTCACTTTACATAGGAAATATTATTTTGTAGAAAAATCTCTTAAAAAAAAAGGAAATATCCACCTACATTTATCACCTCTGAGAAAGTCTAATTACATTGGTTCCATGTATAATAGTTACAATGGGTTGATATCTATTGCGGTTGGGAGAACTCCACCACAATGGCGAATCATTTGCTGTACAAGTCTGTTAATATCCTCTTGAGTTCTTGCCCTTGACATTGCATCTTCTGACTCAAGTGCTCTTCTCAATAATTCGATCTCCTTTGTAATGCTTTTCACCTGAAACAACATATATACATAAATGACATGCTCATCGTCAAAGGACCACACACATTTATATTCATATCAAATCAAATATCATAATAACCAAAGCACTCAACCTTTCTATAAGGCCATCGTTTTAATTTTGCCCTGCGGCAAATTTTCTTCACCACCGTGGGGCATAAACTCACTTGTCTCGATGCTTCCTCAATTGGTAGATGAAAGTAATCGCTGAAATCACTCAATTTCATCCTCCTTGCTCTCTCCCTCTACCCAAATACAATCAAAGTTAATAAATAGATTAAACAAAAGGGGGAGTAAAACAAACACAGCTTCAAAGAACAAAAAAAGCAAAACCTGTGACGCGAGGGAAATTTTAGTACCCGTTCCATTCTCAGCCTCTTGCTCCATCTCATTTGCTACAAACATAACCATTGAAATTAGCATAATACAAAATTTGTTATTGTTATATAAATTATAAACCAACCTGAATTATTTGGATTCAAATCGATGCATTCATCACTTAAATCTTCAGTCCAGTCTAGTCCAGTGCAGAGGGTCTCATAATAGGTAGACAACGGATCTTGCACAATAATGTACCCCGATGAAGCTTGCTGTGCGCAGTAATTTACTAAAAAAGTCTTAATTTCATCTGAGTTTCTGTAGCAAAAACTAGAAAAGAAAGCAAGGTTATTAAGGACAGAGAATAAAGTAAAAGATTAAAAAATAAATACTAAAATACTATTAGCCAACACCTTTGAATACAAGGAATTTATTTAGATACCTGAATTGAATTATTATTAAACTAAAAAATAATAATAAAATTTGTTTAGATAACAACGCGTAGTTGAACTCATCGAATGACATGTAAATAAAGTTGAAGAAAAAGCGGTACCAAAATTTCGAGTTAGAACGTACTCAATCATTTCATATTGAACGCTATTAGGATCAGCCCCTGTGATATTTTGACGGTGAATTGCATGGGTAATCAAGCCGAGCGTTCCATGAATCTCAAGTTTTTGAAAATTTGTACCTAAGATACATCAAATTAAAGAAAATGAAAAGGGTAGAAATGATGGTAAAATGTATTCAATTTGAGTATGTAATTCAAAACGTACTTACCGTTGGTGTGAATTATTTCTCTCAAAACATGACAGCAACTGCAAAAGAATGGGGCTGGTGATTGGGGCCAATGCGAAAGTGGTAACACTTCGTTGAACTCTAAATTCTCATTTTCAGGGTCAGGCAACGATGGACCCTCTGGAAAGTTCCCTGTTCCTCCATTGTTGTGCATGAAGTGATCTTGGACCATTGGATCCGCAAAGGGAAGACTACCCTGTTGGATGATTGGATCCGCAAAGGGAAGATGGCCCTGTTGGATGATCGGGTCGATTAAGGGTTCAAGTCCAAAAGAAGTATTTAGTTGTTGGGACAGTGCATTGGGTGCATCATTGGTAAAATGAGCGAGTGTGGCGTTGCTCCAGTCGAAAGTGTTTGTGTCATGAGAAGGAACAAACCCCGCGTTTTCCATCACCACACACACAAAACTTGTTCCTCTTTGGGCGATGAAAATGGAAATGGGCGTGCGTGTGATGGGAGTAGCGGCGCCAAAGAGACAGGGCCGCCACGATTCGTTGGTTATTTGAGATCCTGTGAAAGGCATGTCGGAATGGAACATGGAACACATATATATATAAAGGAAAAAGAGGCGCGAGTGGCAGTTATCAACCGTTGGAATATTTGAACTCGGTAACGTTGGGCTTTTCAACAGACATGATGCATTCACACTCTTACGAATGTACCAAACACGCCCTTATCCCTGAACAAAGATGGGAGGTGAGTTATTCCATTTTCGAAGGTGGCATGCGGAGAAGTTCATGAAGGGTCTGATCATTTGTTACAGGGGGAAGCTATTCTTTTGGATCCTTCCTGCTCTGGTTCTGGTGCTGCTGCTTCAAGACTTGACCATCTGCTCCCATCTAAAGCAGCAGGTTACATTTAGTTCTAAGATGTTGTAGATTGTATCTACCTAGCTATCAACTTCTTTGCATAAGAAGTGCCCGTAAACGAGTTTAAATTTACCAGTGGTATCATTGCAGTGCATAAATTTAATTTAATTCATAACCCACGTATTGTAGCCTAGTTTGTAGCATTGGAACCCCCACCCCCCACAATCTGATGCAAATTGAAGTGCTATTTACTCTTAATTGTCAACTTTTGATTCCACAGGTCAGGATACTGATATGGATAGATTGAATAAGCTTGCCGCTTTTGAGAGAAAGGCTCTTCAACATGCTTTACTTTGTGAGTTAGATCATTTCTCTTGGTCCATTATATTTTCACTTATTTTCTTGTTTCTAGATTGTTTAGAAGCTTATTTAACTGTCTCCAGATTCTTTGTTGGGCATCTAATTACTTCAGGTTTCTTTCTTTCTTTTTCCTCATTATTATACATATGCTAGATATGTATGTTTTAACGTTATACAATTTATGAAAATTAGAAAAGCTCCTTAAAACACATGCCTAGCTTTGGGCACACAGTAATTTAAGAAGAGAATCGTTTCATTTGACAGTTCCAGCAGTTGACAGAATTGTCTATAGTACATGTTCATCAACCAAATTGAGAATGAGGATGTCATGAAATCTGTTCTGCCTATAGCCGAATCATATGGATTCCAATTGGCAAAACCCTTCCCCCAGTGGCAGTGGGTGGTCTTCCAGTGTTCGAAGGCTTTTAGTATAATAGTATTATTCTTAGGCAGCATCAGTTATCTGTCTATGGTCGTGTCCCACTTGAATAAACCCCAAAATCAGTATTTGAATTATGAACCATATTTGGTGGAGTGGAGGGAGAGGAATACAGATTGTCCTGTGCAATTGGGCATGCAAGTTAACAACAAAAATGATGGAAGGTTATCATTAAGGCACCAATTAATTGCCCCATTCACAACATTGTAAAAGACAGAGATATGAGCATGCATGAGTAACACTCCCTGGTGGATGCTTTCCAGGCTTCAACAGCGTTAGGACTGTGTCAAAGGTACTCTTATATTGCATGCATCTTATGTCAAAGGCCCAACACATTTTGTGGGCTTCTCTCAAGGAGAGGGTGTTCACATTTGGGTAAAGAAGCGGGCCCATGCCCATTTGATTTTTTGCGTTCATGTCCAAAACATGCACAACCATTGTATTGAATTCCATAAAATATTTTAATTTAATTGTGAGATTAAAAAATAAAATCAAACTAAATCTTACTCTTGATGTAAGTAAAGTCACCATCTATTGATAAGAAAGGAATTTATTTATATTATTTAAGTCTTTAATATTTGAAAAGTTTAATAGTTTCGTATACAATATAAATTCATCTAATCTAATAATTAAATTATATTGATGATCATGTACTCTAATTTTATCAATAATTTAGACACTCAAAAGTATATAATTTAACAATTATATTTGCTTATATTTACATAACATATTAAGCAATTGTTAGAATAGAGAGATGCAATATAATATAGATTAATTTTTAAGACAGAGAAATTTGCACACATGACAATAAAATTTTAAAAATTTCAATCCAACAACAGGATTAATATATTTAATTCTTATGAAAGGTTATTAAAGAGTTTAAATATATTAAGACACTTAGACACTAGACCTTATTCTTGTTGCTATATTAAAAACTTGGAAAGAAAAAAGAAGAAAATGAGTTTAAATAGGAGTGGTAACAAGGGGCAATATTAGTGATGATATTTGGTTATTTGCTCCTTCTACACTGTCAACACTTCTAGCCCCACTCCTCAAATCCTTACTCCTTGGCACCACCACCCCAATCAACGCCCATCATTCATCAAGCCAAAATCAACGGATGGTATATTAATCCAAGTGAAGCAAGTTCTGCATTTAAAGATAAGATAGATAAATAAATAAGAATATATTAGACCAAACATTACCTAATTAATTAGAAATTGTTGTACAGTTGATAAAACTACATGTGCAAAAATTTTACGTGTAATGTAGGGGTTAGAATCAAAATAATATTACCTTATTGTGAGTGTTGTGTCATCTAATGTAAATGAATTAGGCTGGTGATCAAAAAGTGTGGAAACACCTAGTAAGATAAATGAATGAATGATCTAAACTACCTTGAATCAAATAAAATCAACAGATTTTTTTCACACTATTAAGTAATACCTCAATTGGTACAGATTCAAATTTTTTAGACAGGAGTGTAACATTAATTATAAGTTTCATAATCTATCAAAGCTAACAGTTCGAAATAATTAACTCCATAAAATATGTGTTATTTTTTTGGGTGAAAAATAATATAGGTGAGTTGGGCAAACATTATCTCAAATATATTTTGACTTACTTTTATTTATCTAATTTGATTTAACCTAGTTTGACATAGTCAAGCTACTCGATAACTCAATATTTATTTATTTTTATTTGACTGATGTCTAAACCAATAATAATAATAATAATAATAACAGTAATTATTATTATTAAAATATTAATAATTATTGATGATCACCTAAAGATAAGTAATTTTTTATGAGATTATTATTAAGTGATTGTTATTACTAATTACAGATGAAAAATGAGTTTACTTTTGAATTAAAAATAGTAATTTAAAGCATTAATGAAATTAAATAATTAATTTTCTAATCAGAACGATACTCCTAAACTTTTATATTTTAAACTTAATTTCTTTTCTTTGAAGCAAATATTATTCCTTTAAAAATTAAAATACAACTTCTTCAAAGCCAAAAAAAAAAAAAGAAATATCTTCCAAAGGAAATCTCAGGGTGGTCACGGATAGACTTATGAATCTGCCCTCACTTATGATAAACATTTTGTGGGATTAAATTAAACACGACCCCGATAGCATTGAATTGGTCAGTCTAAAAATATGAAACATTTTCTTTTATTAGTAAATTTGAAGTATTTTATAGCTCAATTCAACCCAACCTAAACTCTATTTTTAACCCTACTTTTATCTTCTTCTTTTTTTCCTTTTTATGAATATTTTTAAAAGTATAATGTATGCACAATTTAATAACTTGATCAAAATTAAACAAGATTTCATTATATTTAGCAATTAAAAAAAAACTTCAAACTCGCTATTTAATCAGTTTAGGTGCATAATATCCCTTTAGAACAAGTCAACCAGTGCCCTAATAAAACTTACTCACTGTTGCACTAAAATAATATGCACTATTTAAAAAAAAAATCGTTTATCTTGCTCCCTCCCTAAATTTTCCTTTTTAAAAAAATAAAAGTTAAGATCCAAATCAAGCTGTTATTCAGTGGACTGAAAAATCTGTTCGCCCAATCAGCATTGATAAAATAAAAATAATATTATTAGTGTACCTAATAATGTTGGCAATAGCAATTAAGAAGAGTTGAGTGAGATCCAAGTATGCATGCTCAGTGAATGGCTTAATCTTGGAGTCCCCTCTCTCTCACATGCATCGATTATGAATTCGAGAACACAGAAATAAATGATGCAGTGAAACCTTACTCAATCCGATTAAATTAATTAACCATATAGTATACTCGATGGCTTAAATCATGAATTTTTCAATGAGGCCAAAAATTATGTTAATTATGGTTTCGAAATGGTAAAAGGAGCATCACAAATTCGCTCAAATATTACAAGTAGTGATGATTGGGTTATGTCAACACCGGGAAGATGCCACGAGTTGAAGCAATCATGACATGGGACCAATACATGTCACATCTACATATACAAAGGTTCTAAGTTTTTTATGACATTCAAAAGCAAAAATACGTACACAAGTATGCTTTGGTGTGCATCATGCAGAAAAAGAAAGCTCAAATATAAAAGAGAAGAAAGTGCAAGTCTTTTTCTTCATATTTCTTGCTTATACGACTAAGACTTCCTCTTCGTGCCCTTTTCGACCAACTGAAATCCTCACGCCAAGGAAACTCACTCTTTAGAAATTAAATAGCTGTCAATGGAGTATGACAATTCAACAAATACGTAGCAAAATATCTACTTTAATTTCACCCATTACCCTTGTTTCCTTTCTATTTCTATATTTTTTTCATTTTATTTATGTCTTCAACTTAAATTGCATGGATAGCATCACCTCTCTGCCTCTGTTGATAAACTCTCAAATTACACGCAAAAAATAAGCACCAAAAGATGCCATCTGTATCTTTTTTTTCTGAGAATTAATTAATGAAGCATGCAACATAACCATTGGACAAAATATAAACCGATGTTTCAATCAATATACGAAACGTTTCTCGATCAGAAGATGCTGATCAGTAAAAAGCACGAGAAAAAAAGTCGCCTGGTTAAGGATTTTTTTTTGTATATGTATCGCATTTAAAAAATTTATACTAATAAAAAAGAGATTAAATTAATTTTTTCATTATATATAATTTATTTAAAATTATATTATTTGTTACATAATATTATTATTATATATTAAATTTTTATTTTATTTTTCTATTTTTTTATAAATTTTTAATTTTGAATAAAATATAATTTATATTTAAGTAATTTCTATTTATTATAAATAATATATTAATTTAATAATTAAATATTAATAATAATAAAATTAAGAATATAAAAAATATATTAATATAATGTGATTATTTTATTTTTAAATTTTAATTTGTTTAATTTTA